TACTGTTTACTCGTATTTTTAAAAATTTAACCCTCCACCCTCCTATAAAGGAAAATGATTTGATTTAGTAAATTATTATGTCGGATGAAAGGTATATATATAATTTAAGGATTTGTTACCTTCCCTATTAATTTTCATCTGATATCATTAACACCCCAAATTATTTTATTAGAGTATTTAATTAATTTGAATTAATTATAGCTGTTGTATGGTTAAGAAAAATAATAGAACAAGACTACTTTATGTACAAGTCTTGTGACAAGACAAGGTTATATTAAACAGTTTAACCAGACAAGACTTAAGCGTTTGAGATAGTTGGAAGATTTAGTTAGAAATTAGCTCATATAACCCTGTCTCGTCAAGATGTCCGGATTAACAAGGTTTCACTGTATATATTTTATATGATGATGTGACACGACTTATGGCTCAATAATGTAGTCGACACTGGTGTAGACCTTTGGGTCATTTAATTTTGATAAACTTCAATAAATTATAAATAAAACCAAAAAGACGAACGATAATTATAATAACAATAATAATATTTCAGCATTTTCAATTTCGTCGGCAATGCGATACCGTGCATCGTGGCGTATGGCACGCCAGTGGCATAGCCAAGGGGGAGAGCTATGGGGCTATAGCCCCCCATTGGCCTTATTTTTCTTATTCTTTTGAAATATTTAAATTTAAATATGAAAATTGTGTAACAATATTATATATTTGAAATAGTAAATACGTTAATATGCTATCAATATTTACTATCACTAAAATCAATAAAAATTTCAATTTACACATATACTATCGTCTTCTACACTTTATAAAATTTAGCATCCCCCGTGCGAAAATCCTGGCTACGCCTCTGTGGCACGCCGTATTAGCGTCAAATCCGTGCCAGTCAAACTACCATGTTCCCAAAAGTAGCGCAACGGCTGATAAAGATTGCATGGGTCATGGAGCTCCATGTATCACAAAGCGACGCAGGATTGTGTCAGATTCTTTATTCAATGAGAGAATATACTAGAGCCATTTTGATGTCCTAGATCTTTAGATTCAGAAGACGTTAAAAAACTATGAATTGGTTTAATTACATATTTTATAAAAGCAGTGTCAATTTATACATTATATTGTATAGTGTGATTATTTAAAAAAAAATATATACTCAGAAAATTATACAGATGTATTATAGCAAATTTAGATAATTTTAGCTTCGATACGAAGCTGAGAAGGTATTAATTTTTCTATGATGTGTTTTTTTTTTTTTTGTGTCTGCTACCACTTTTTCTCAGCTCTCACTGAACCGATTTCTTTCAATGTTACGTCAAAAGATCACAAATCGTATCTAATCGAAGACATTACCCTCAATTGAAAAAATTGAAAAAATTTCCCTCGTTCACCGTAAATGGGGGAAACCTCCAAAAATTACAAATTTAAAAATCGCTAATTTTCGATTTTTTTTCAATTTTTTTTACTTAAAACTGCCGTAACTTTCTCAAAAATGAACATATCAATATAATTATTTTTTATAGATGCTTGATTACCTATCATTTGGTATATTTTATTTTTATATCTGACCCTTTACCTGCCCACGGGGGGATTTAAAATGACAACTTTATCACAAAATATTAACTTTTTCAATTTAACTTTTGAAAGTGTTTTGGAAATACTGACACTTTTATATATATCTTAAATTAAAGCTAATGTAATATACTTTATTATGAAAAAAAAAAATTTGGACTTTATTTTATTTTCATGGTGAAAATGGCTACCAAATGCTATTATTGTATGAAAATTCTCGATTTTATTTTTTACATTTTTAACTTTATAATGCTATAACTTATTGAAAAGTATAAGGATCAATACAATTATTTTATGAGAAATAATATTTATATAAGTCCAGAACAAATCAATAAAGATCATTAATAATAAATAAACTAAAAATAAAATAAAATAATCTAATTTACTTCTATTTTATTAAATAATGACTAAAAATAAATGTCAAAAGTATTACTATTAAAAGGTTAAAATATATAACGATTAGTTTTTGAAATATAAAAAAATATTTTAATACATTTTATGAAACCCTAGATTTGTATATTCATAGTTGATAAAATTTTGATTATATAAATGAAATTCCTTACAAGCCTGTTGACTGTTAGTGATCGGGTCGTTACCTTTATAATTTTAACTTTATAATGCTATAACTTATTGAAAAGTGTATGGATAAACATAATTTTTTTTTTTTATAGATGCATGATGTCTTTACCTATCATTTGGTATATTTTATTTTTATATCTGACCCTTTACCTGCCCACGGGGGGATTTAAAATTACAACTTTTTCACAAAAAATTTACTTTTTCAACTTAATTTTTGAAAGTGTTCCGGAAATACTGACACTTTTATATATACTTTAAATTAAATCTTATGTAATATACTTTATTAACGTAATATAAAATTTTGGATTTGATTTGGTCTTCACGGTGAAAATGGCTACCAAATGCTATTTTTGTGTGAAAATTCTTGATTTTATTTTTACATTTTTAACTTTATAATGCTATAACTTATTGAAAAGTGTATGGATCAACACAATTTTTTTATGAGAAATAATATTTTTTAATAATCCCTTTTTCATTCAGGATATTAACCTTTATGTGACTGAAAAAAAAACAACTTCTTATGACGGTGTAGGTACCCGGGTACCTACAATATAGTTATCTGTGCTTTTCCGGTAAATTATTTCATTGTCGTCAGTCTATCGCTTTTATACCTTATTATATGTAATTCTTCTCGTATCTGGTGTACATAGATCTAATAAAGAACATGTATCAGAAATGTGGAAATTAGACTCGTTACCTCTCATTCGAGCTGCAATGTCTCGATATCGATTCAAAATGTTGCTAAGGTTTATTCGTTTTGATAATGTAAACACTCGTAATATACGTATTACAACAGACAAAGCTGCACCGATTCGTGATATTTGGACATGCTCAATCAAAACTTACATAAAAATTATAAACCTACAGAAAATATAACAGTAGACGAACAATTATTTCCTTACAGAGGACACACAAAATTTATATAGTACATTCCATCTAAACCTGCAAAATATGGAATAAAGGTTTTTTGGGCTTGCGATGCAGCAAATGCTTACCCTTTGCATGGTAAAATTTACACTGGCAAACCACAAGATGGTAAACGTTAAGTAAATATTGGTGAACGTTCAGTTCTTGACTTAGTTGCGATGTATAAAGGTNACAGTTCTAGACTTAGTTGAGATGTATAAAGGTTCTGGACGAAATGTGACTACAGACAACGTTTTTACAAGTATGTAATTGGCTACTACATTAAACTCTTGGAATATGACATTGGTTGGTACTGTCAGAAAAAATAAAAGATTCTTGCCTCCCAAAATGCTTCCATCAAAAGCCAGAGCGTTACATTCTACAAATTTTGTATTTAGAAAAGATATAAATATTTCTTATGTTCCAAAAATAAATAAATCGGTTATTCTTTTATCTACAATGCATATGACAGCCGACATAATGCAAGCTGCTACCGCTAAACCAGAAATTATAAAATATTATCAGACAAAAGGAGGAGTAGATACAATGGATAAAATGTTAACAGAATACACAGTAAAGCGAAGAACTAATCGTTGGCCACTTGCATTTTTTTTCAACATGATTGATATTGCTGCTTTATCTGCATATATTATATATATGGAACACAATCAAAGGTTTAACACAACTGATCGACGCCGAAAATTTTTAAAAGAGCTTGCAAATTAGTTATGTATGTCTGCAATAGAAATTCGAACCTCCATACCTAAAGTAGTAGGAAATCGATATACTCGTAATTCAATGGAAATGGTTCTCGGACGGCCAATACAACAGATAATTGCTATTCCTAAAAATGAACCACCTCGTGATGCTTCAGGACGTATTCAAATAGTTGGAAGTTGCTTAGTATGTCGAGAATTGGGTTATAAGCAACGGAAAACTCGAAAAGCTTGTTCAACTTGCTCAAAGCCTATTTGCAATGAACACTCAATAAACAAATCATTTTTCGAAACTTGCAATCAACAAAAAACCTAAATATGTTATAATACTTACTAAATATGTAAAAAATAACATTTTTGTTCTCTTAATATTTGTATCTATTTTATTGATGTCCAGTAAAAATATTTATCAATGGTAATTTAACTTTTTTTTGTATCAATAAAACCTACATTTAAATACAGTATATAGAGGTACCCAGGTACCTACTACGTCCTTATAAGGTGTAAAATTAACAACGCTATTTTAAGTACAATAAATTATATACTTTTCAAATACAAAATATAAATTTGTTAACTGTACATGCTATTTAGAGATGTCACAGAAGGACTAACCATACATACTAAATATTTAGAAGAAAAATAAATTTAAAAACTGAAAAGGTACCCGGGTACCTTTCCAGTCACATAAGGGTTAATAAGGAAATAGCAGATCATGTAGCTTTTGGAATAAGCCACCAATTTTTTAAAATTAAATAATATATAAAGATTTGCATTTTATAGTGATTTTAATTACTGTCAGATATTATTTTACTTGATCCAACTATGCCACGTCACCACTGTGGTGGCTTTTTTTTTTTAACTTTTTACGTTAATTGAATTAGCTTTATTCTAAACTTTTCAAAATCTTAACGATATAAAGTTTAAAAAAGTTTAACTGAAGTAATTATATTCAATAAAATATACTTTTAGAAACCTTTTAATTTATTTCTTAATAGTTTTTTTTAACATACAACTTATTTCATTTGCATATTTGTTTATGACTAATCTAAATATATAATAATTTTATAGTTTTATCGATGGTATATGTCAATATAATCAAATAAAGAAATATAAAATCCATTCTAAATTTAAATTAAATCTAACCTTCAAAATAATTTATAATCGTAGATTTTTAAAGATACAAAATAACTATAATTATAATACTGAAAACTATTATAATAGATTTGAAATTAATATATGTTTTTTTAAAAAGCTAAACTGTTCGTTTAATTCAAATCGGGAGACATTGATTTAGACAATTTTTTTATGAGACTTCAGTAAAATAAACTGTTTTTAGATAAGTTAAAAATGATACAAAATAATTTTCATTCATTGAACTTTATAATATGTTTATCTGTTGTTCTTATATCAGAGCAAATATTTTTCAAAACAAATGCTATACCAGAAATACAAGTAAGTACATTTAATTTATAGATTTACATTTATAGATCCTTAAAAAATAGATGAGAGTCTATTAAAGCCACAGAATATACAAAATGGTTACGAATAAAATTAGTTTTGTGCTTTTATTATATTCGGCATATCATTAACAAATCAATAAAAAAATTATTGAAATCTAAATATCAAATGTTAATTAAAGCCATTTTGGAATAGAAATTTTTGAGTTTAAATAAAAAATCTGAAGTTGAAAATTAAAATCAGCGAAAAAAAAACTATTTTTGGCATAATGTGTTACATAAGAGAAAAAAATGTATTTACAATTTTTATCCACCAAATTAATTTGTATACTCACTCCATTAATGGTGAAATTACAGCCTGGGTTGACGGTCTAACCTAGTATGTGGAATGCATACAGGAAAATAGATGCAAAATTTGGCTAGACGATTTCCATAAGAATAATATCACACAATATTTATTTATTTATTTATTTATTAATAATATTTATTTATTCACAGTATAAGAAATTTATTTAAAATAAAATATTAATAAAAATATACAAAAAATTTTTAAAAATAGCAGTATTGTACTAATATGAAAAACAATAAAATAACTACATTTTTATGATTAAATGATAATTATGTTCGCCTTAAACAGGTTCATCTCATTTGAGATTCAAATTAATAATTAGACTAATGCTGAAACTGAAATTATTTAATTTTTGACTAGTTTTCTTGGATCAAGTAAATTATTATAAATTAATTGTTTATTAAATCATTTATATCGAAATATTTTTTAGTACAAATTGAAAAATAAATATTATAAGGCTGTCTTTGAAACCATAAACAACATAAAAATAATTTAAAAACTAAAATTAACCGAAAACATGTATAAATTAGTTTCGGCTTTTACACTTCATATAGTCAAATTTTAAGTATGAATAGATTTAAAAATGATATATATCATTATCATTTTCTAAAATTATTTATTTTACAATTTTTGAAAAAAATTTGAAATAGGAGCTGTCCTATATCAAATTCATTGGATGCCGTAAATATTTTGGAAAACCAGAAATCATTTTGGTTCCTAGCATTGCTTTAGACTACTTGTTTTATTACAATTACTTTTATTTCTTATCTATATTTTAACTTTTATGCCATAATTGTCAAAATACCTAAATGTTTTGTATCATGCAGCTAGACCGTAGAACGGCAAGTTGTACACAGTTCTTGCTGTAAAGGTTAACACATAAAAATATTCACTCACTGACATACAATGAAGAAACAAATTTCTCTAATATTCTAAAACTGTAACATTGATTCTATTATTTTTAATAATGGTATTTAGTAATTTTCTGAAAAGAAGTCTATGGAAATTATATTATTATAATACAAACATAATTTAAGAAACAATTTAAACTTTAGATTTTAGACTATTTTATTATAATTTTTATTTTTTGTTGATAATTTACATTTTGATTTTAGCCACCTAATTATGACACCGTATTTGACGATTCATTTTTAAAAGTTGTAAGTATTATTAATAATAACATCATATCATTAATCTATGGAAAAAATAAAAAATATATTAATAATTCGCTTATAAATCACGATGACATGAATTTGTTATCAAGATCTTGTAAAGATGATTATGAGTGTAGACAAAAAAAAGAGTCAAGCTTAAACAAATTAAAAAAAGAATTAGATTTGTTAGAATGTTTACACACATTTTTGTGCCTTCAAATTTTAGATGTATTAAAAAAGGCTAGAAATTTAAATTCGAATCATATTATTAAAATAAATTATCAATATGTAACTGAATATATTATTAGAATGATTTCATTTTTTATTTATGGAAAATTTGTTGTTAATCCTTGGCAATATGATTTTGCGATGAAAGCGATTGATATAGCAAAACTTGAACGAAAAAAGGAGAATACATATGAAATCAGTTTAAAATTTATAAATGATTCTTCATTATTTTTTACTATGAATAAATTTTGCGAAAATTGTAAAAAGACTAATGAAGTTTTGAAATTAATAACTACATTGATATTTAATAAATTTCAAGAAAAAAACATTCAGTTTTCAACACATGAAAATTTTGTACTAAATATTGTAAAGAATTTATTGATAAAAACAAATCTCCCATGTATATCAAAAATGTACAATGCTGCTCATATATTTATACACAAAGGTAATCAATATGAGTATTACACTATAATGGTTTTAAATTTGCAAACTTTCTTGTATGTTAATTAATAAAGTTTAATGAACATAAAAATATAAAGGGTAATCTATTAAGAATAACACATTTATTTTCTTGAAAACTTTTGTACTAAACTATAAAAATTGTAAAGAAAAATGGTTTTTTTACAAATATATACTTTAATATGCAGTTAAATAATTTATTTATAACTCTTCAGGTTTAAAATATCTTAATTTTCATTTTTAATAATTGGGGTTTTTATTTTATTCTAAGCTTTATGGTATTATAGAAAGAAATATGTTTTTGTCACAAAAGTTAATCCATATTTAATTTCAGTTGAATTATTATTTGTAAGTTGTGTTATGTTTATAAACTATGAGAACGTGTGTATAAATAAAATCATACAAATAATAAAAATAATGAATTTTTGAGTATGTTATAATAGAATTTAATACTTTTATAGCACTTTATTTAACAAAATTGAACAATGAATAAATACCAAAATCACATACACTAGTATGATACAGGCTGAGAAATTAGATCTATGATTAAGATGTAAAATATTATAAGTTTTTACAAGGACATAATTAAGCCATGACGGCCTATATCGGACCTAACACTTTGAGTCTATGCCTGATCGTCGGCTCATATTTCTGGGTCAATACATTCCTATTACCTAACTATAGTCGATCAACCATATTCTGTATTCTCTATATTATTATAAATTTTACGAAATACTATTCAAGTAAGGGATCACATACAGTTGACATACATTAACACGTTAATTACATCATTTGTTTGATTTATCTTTTTTGACAACTGGTGTATTTTCGGTCGCTGGAAATATGGTTATGTGTGTCTTATTTTTAAAGGAGGGAAGAGGTCGCTTTCTTAAATAAATATACGAAAAAGAATTGATCAGTTTTATAGTCCTCTATGTCCCAAAATTTATATGCTACGGAGAGTGGATAGAGAGTCAAAAATGATTCTTGGCTAGGCCAGTGATGGACGGAAAGAGTATTATGGACAGCTCACACTAGAAATCAGAAACCACCAACAAGAAAATCACAAAAAAAATCTCGTTGGGGCCCTTTGAATCGAATCCGGAACCCCGTGCACTGAAACATACGTTTCTACCCACAAGGCCAGCCTGACTTCATTTCATAAATAAATATATAAACAAATAAATTTACATGGTTGGGTCCTATTCGCTTCGTGTTACACGGAGCCTCACGAATCGCGCCGTTTTTATCAGACTTTGCCTACTAGTATATGTATACTTTTTTACTAGTATATGGCAGTTTGATTGACTAACAAAGCATACTTTACGCTATTGTAAAAAGTCTATCAAATAACACACAGACGAAGGGACCCCGCTGCATATTCACGTTGTTGTCATTTTCGTAACACCTAATTTACGCAGTGTATTTGTCGTCCTGACCGTTGTTTTTTTATGGTACGGTAGTAGAATGCCTACTACTGTGTACTCTTTTTATTGCCTTTTATTGTCTTTTTATTAGTGAAACATTATTATTTCATATCTCTATATATATTTATACTTCTTAAAATAAACTTCTCGACGTCATTTATTATCTGTAAAAACTGTATCGTCTACGTTATTCATTATGTGACGTAAGTCGTGTTAACTAACTTCCCTGTAAGGATTACAAACTTGACTTAAGGTAAGAAAATACTTTGATCACTTTATTTTTATTTTATTATTTTATTTTACGTTGCAATGATGCGGATTTGGATTCATTCCGTAATGGGCGTTTCCAAAATCAACTTGAGCAATTTTGAAAAATGTTAGCAAACTCGAAAATTGTTTTTGTTCCATATAAAAAATATTTGGGTATCTGGAAATCAATAAATATATTATTTAATTATCATTTTAAAGTTACATAAATCATTATATAAAAAAGAAAAAACAAATGTAAATAAACAAAAAAATAAATAAATTTTTATTAGTTTTTGAGAAAATAAGTGTCTTATCGTTAATTGATTAGCCTTAATAATATCACATAATATCGCAGAGATAATATTGCATTTGACACTTACATTAATATTTACGTATTTATGAATTATCATATCAAATTCTTTTTTTTTTAGATGTATCTTTATTATTATATTTTAATTACATTTTTTTTAAATAACTTTTCATTTAACGAATGCCGGAGCAGCTAATCAAAAGGAGGTAGTTGTCGACGAAGCTTACGAAAATACGAAAAAAGATTTTCTACAAAGCTTAAAATTAAGTAAATCTGATATTGAATCATATGAGAGAGAGACAATCAATTTCTTTGATAAACATTTATGGGAAAAAGATGGTTGGAATCGCCTATCAGCTGCTTATTTCTACCGCGCTTCTTCATTAAAACAAAATTCAAGTAAAAAATCAATCTTGAAAAAAGTGTTGCGCGTTCAGCCTGAAAAATCAGAAAATGAAGATAATATCCCGTAAGTACTATTATAAATTACTTAAATTGTTTCATATTTTTGAATAGTTATTTCTTAAGTTCCTGATAAGGTACTAATTTTCCGGTTTTACGATATAGGTGTACTGTTAAATATGGCAGAGTTAATGAGCCGAAAGCGAAAGAACTTTTTGAAATGATAACGGATTTACAGATTGAACTATGTGGTGTATTTATTGATGAAAACTTGAACTATTTAACAGCAAAACCAGATGGTTTAATTGGGAAAGATGGCATTGTTGAAATAAAATGTCCACTTAACGCCCAAAATATGATTCCCAAACTTGCTATTAAACAAAAAGTGATAAAATATGTGCACTACAACGAAAATGAAGATCTTGTAATAAAACGTAGCTCTGATATTTTTTATCAAATACAAGGAGAACTTCATATTACAAAGAGGCATTATTGTTATTTAATTATTTGGACACCAAAAGGTATTAGAAAGTCCAAAATTAAATTTTTCATTTTGTTTTCATAAATAGTATAAATTGAATATTCTACAAAATTTCTTCCTAAATTTTCTTAAAAATTTAATACTAAATTCAATATACTACTCTGAAATCCCCTCTTATCTATTGGGTGATGCTGATAATTTAAGTTGTATATAATGTAACTTCAAAACTCTGAATTCTCTGGAAATTTATACTAATTTCACAGTTACTTCCCTAAAGTCTTCTCTGATCTGATGGGGGTTCTGGTAACTGAACCCCTATTTAAAGTAACAAAATTCTATTTTTACTATTTTTATACTTTGTTTGCATGAACAAAAATCATCTTGATTTTATAACGTATAATAACTGTTAAATGAGAAATACGAGGATATACCAGTTTAGGATAACTTGTTCATATGAATATATCCTAATAATAAAAAAAATTTTAAATCACTATACACTCTTTCATTCAATAATTTATAAGGAGTTTTAAATAATTTATCTTTAAAATGCTATTATTTAATTTTTTTAGGTATTGTGTATAGTAAAATTCTTCGAGATGACAAATTTTGGAACGATAAAATGGAAGAAAGACTTATTTACTTTTATGAAAACATTATGTTACCTGAAATATTGAATCGTCAATTTTTTAAGAATCTGAATATTGTTAATACTTAATTAATTTAATAAATTATTATATAAATAAGATTAAAAGATAAATAAAAAATATATTGTTTTTAAATAAAACATCAATTACAGTAATTAAGTCCTTGAAATAAAAAATAAATCAGTGAAATTCATAATTTCATTTTTAAAAATTTAAAGAGTACTTTTATTGTGAATCAGGCTTTTAATAAAATATGTCTCTTTGTGTTCTGACATAAATAGCATATGAACTAACATGTGAAAATGTTACCGTAGTTAAAAAACATGTAATTTTTGTGTTAAAATTTACGATTTCAAATTCTATTAATTAAACTTTTTCAACTCAATTTTTCGATTCGAAGCTGAGATAGTATTTATTTTATTATGATGTTTTTTTTTTATTATTTTTGTGTTTGTCATTATTTTTTCTCAGCTCTCATTGGACCGATTTTTTTCAAAAATATGTCAAACATCATAAATTGTATCTACTTGAAGGCATTACCCTTAAAATTTTTCCCTCGTTCACTGTAAATAGTTAATATCCCCAAAAAAATTACGTTTTTTAAAATCGGTTAATTTTGACATTTTTTAAACATTTTTTTTTAAAATACTTAATGAAAAATGAACAAATCAAAATAATTCTTTTTTGTTTTTAAACCAAATATTTCTCTTTCATTTGATATGGATATATACAATTTTTTTTCAAAAATACTTTGTGATCAATTGTTTCATTTGATATAAATTTTTTGAAAATCTGACTCTTGACCTAACCACAGAAGGAATTCAAATAATAATTTTTACACACAAGTTAAACTTTTTCAACTTAATTTTTGAAAATTTTCTGAAAATATTGACACTTTTATTTTATCTTAAATTAAAGTCTATATAATATATTATACTATGGAGAAAAAAAATTTCGAGATTTAGTGAAAATTATTATCATAATCTAAACTATGATATTTTTGTTTTAAAATTCTTGGGATTGTATTTTAATTTATTTTATTTTACCTTATAAGAGGTATTTTAATTTTCATTAATATTATATAAATCTAATTGAAATAGAATATAATGTTAAACTTATTTCAATTTTTTTTTTTAAGTCGAAAAAATTAATTTTGCTTATGAATAATTCACCAATTTCTTAAAATTAAACACTAACTATATATTAGTATCGAAGCGTTTCTTATGATAGTGATTTTAATCAATATCAGATATCATCTATTGTTGTGACTCTACAAGTCGGAAGGTCAGCCATGAAAGGTTAAGGATTAGTCGCCTGATATTTCGTGCATGGCACACATGAATAAACCACCCGTCGTATGGCTGCTCGACCTAATATTATCCAGTACTGCTGTTTAATTATTGCTAAAACTACTCCAGCACCACCGTGTAACAATAATCGATGATAATGCTGGATAATTAGATCAGTGAGTTGACATCATAGTGGTAACAGTATAGGATGTTTTGATTTATTTTCCAACTCCAAATGCCTCAAACGACTTCTCACTCTTATCACCTCTGTCTGGTCGATAAAAGGAGCCAACTGAGCCAAAGTTGTGGGCGCAATGTCTTTGCCCCCTTTTATACATTTATATAAGTCAATGTAATAAATTTCTTGGGTATACTTAATGATTTTATGCAAATCTTGATTCTGTTCGGTATTTGAGATAGATCCCGTCGATGCGGAACGTCGCCGAGACCGTTGAACAAATCGTAGACAGTATCCTACTACGCGTAACATTCGGGCTAATGATGAAAAGCGGTCTATCCATTGATCTAAATTCTCGCACATATGCAATGTTCCTTGTGTTGGTCTCTTAAGTTCCGGCATGTCCTCCTTTGGTACTGTGACTGTGGCGGCCGACGTCACTGGCCACTGTGCTTCCTCCTGCCACAGGAACTCTGGCGCTGATAGGTGTTTTGTTCCCGACAACAATTCCAGGGGTAACAATCTTCTAGATGCTGGATCTGCCGTAATATGATTCGTACCAATGTGACCCCATTTGCATTTAGGCAACAAAGCATGAATTTTAGCCACCCGATTTGTCACAAAAATTTTGAATTGTTTGTGATCCTGCGCTAAAACAACTGTCGAGTCTGTCCAACATCTAACTCCATTGATGGGATTCACGGTCTCAAGCACTTTAATGTGTTGTGATAATAGTTTGGTCAAAAGTAATGCGGCGCATAGTTCGAGCCGCGGAATAGTTAACGTTGTGTCCTTTGGTGATGCCTTTAAGGGCGCGATCTTAGTTTTGCAAGACACGAAGAAAACGGTAATGTCTCCAGACTAATATACAACCCGCAAATAAGATATTGCGATGTGAGCCTTTTGTAACGCTCCGAGAATCCTAATAATTGAATATTTAATGCATAACGAATGTCGATGTGGCGGGGTAGCGCTACCTTACGCAGCAAGGCTAATTCAGATACGAATTTTTCCCAGACGCAACTAATATGTGGGCCGGTCGGCCTCCAAGTGGTGTAAGTCATAAAAATCAATTTTTCAGGAGAGCAAATTTAAAATTCTTACCTCAATATAAATTCAGATTTTGGGTTTGTGCTGTTGAATTATGGTCTAAAACCATCCTAAGTGCATGAAGCTTCATTTAGAATAAAAAAAATTAGATTTTTTTATAATGATAACAATTTAAAAATATCTTAATACATTCATCTTTATGCAACATTTCTTATACCAAACTGAAAAGATAAGGGAAATCATGTATAAATAATATAAAATTGAATAAATATTTAATTACTATTGAATATATTTAATATTTATAAAAATCTGATTTTTTATGTAAAAAATTATATAATTTATAATAAAACTTTAATTCTGTGGGACAACTTCTTCGGGGGTCTCAGTGGTTCTTAATCCCATAAAAAATGGATGGTGTATAGGAGGTATGAACTGCAGTAAGTCTTCCATGTCTTTCTTTTTCGATGCTGTAACGGGTCTTCCAAAGGGGTAAGATATTTTCAGCTGATGCTTAATTAAATCCAATGATGGGCGACCAGCCATGCTCCCAGTACGGTTCTTTTTCAAGTTAAGTTCTTGGAATCCCACAAGATCGTTTAATATTTCTTTGTAAAAAATAGACATTCTGTGACGTTTGTCATACTTTATGTGACGCATTTTCAACCAGTTTACTTCAATCCCAGCAACGTTTTTCTTTCTTTTTGTTACATAATCTTGAAGTCCTGTTACTGCTACAAAGTCAGAAATTTGCATTTCATGAATCACAAACTTGTTTGTTCTTCGAGCATCTTTCATTATGTTATACCAATCCTTGGGTCCATAAATAGTTCTGTTTTTACTCGCAGTTTCGACACACCCAAAATCCTACCGACCGTCGCGACGGGAAGAGTTACACCACTTGGTCGCTAAAGCGCTCGGCCATTTCATTAACTGAAATAACAATATATGCTTCTTATTATGATTGTATTGAACTAGGACTCACAACATTTGTCAGAATCGTAGATTATTCACTATAGAATTGAAAAATGGTGTAAGTCCAATTTTCAAAATGTTTGACTTACACCACTTGGCGGCCGACCGGCCCATGTGTTGGTAGAGTATCATCCCAGCCGAGTTCCTCGTGCCAAACTTGCTGCATTATGTATTTTGCCCATAGAATTGTGGGTCCCAGTACACCGATGGGATCAAACAATCGCGCGTTTGTTGACAGAATTTCCTCGTTTGTGTTAGGAGCGACATCAGGACTAACTTTTCTTCGGACTGTGCAATGATATATATATATATATATATATGTCTTTATCTTTGAACGCCAACTCTGGGATAATCATGTGCGAGTCGTAGTTGGACAGACCGTGTATGATGACCGGCATAAAGGCCGGTGGACGTTGTTGCAGGTTGCATTTGTTACACAAAATGGAACGAAACTGAGCCGTCCAGTGGTTGTGATCCTTGACTTTTTTTACTTTATCCATGAACCTAATTGAGCACAACTCGCAATTTTTCGTTGTATCGAATCGATGTTCTTCCAGTGTCAGTGACGTCATATCGATGTTCACCTTCATTATGTCCAATATGCGTTTACCAATGGTTACCAACGTCGTGATAAAGTGTTTGGTCGCATCCGGTCCCCGGTACAGTTTTAAACGATACGTCTCTCATTTCACCTATAACTTGGTGTATGTACGTTGTGTGCAGTACAACGTTGAATTTTATTATACCGTGCTTGGTAACGTCATTTAGTACGGTGGTAAAATCGTCACTCACGTATCGAATAAAATCGTCAATTTCGTCAATAGTCATTTCATTTTTCAAAAAATAATGTATCACTCGACCGCGTAGTGCAGAATCTATAGGAACAAAACCAGTCCCTGCAACGTGCATGCATGCGCGTTTGGTCACCCTACCCGAAGGCGCTGACAAACATCGTTTCCCTAAAATAACAGTTTGACGGTGACCCTGATTCATACTACAATGAACATTCAAACCAGTACTATCGACAAATGAAAACCCACAACCGCATACAAATGACATGATACAACTATTGAAAAATTAATACATTAGTTAAACGTGTGTATGGCCACCTTTATACTAAGCTATTCAGTTCAATGTACTTTTACTATTGGAGTAAACACGACTGAACTGTTAACTAATTATATTATAAATAGTGTAGAAATTTTACTTGAATACATAAGTTTTTGTTTTTCTTAAAATCTACTCTAAAGTATAACTATTGTGATTTTTGTTTTTTATTTTCACCAATTTGAAAAACTATTTATCTTATAATATTAATCTAAAGTATAATTTACCTTTGTCATAAACTACTATTAGGTTCTATACTATCGGAGTAATAATGTAAACACAAATAGACGAACTATATAATTTTAATTTCATTTCATTTGTTGTACATAAATCATTAAAAAAGAAAATATAAACAGATTTTGATGATTGTAAAAAAAAAAAAAGTTAATGCATTAAAAAAAATTTTATTGAAAGTCAAATGAATAAGCATTTCCTGTTTTCCCTCAGTAACAAAGTAACATTTTGGTGTCGCTGTCGTTGTACGTTTTAATTTCATTG